CATTGCTTTCAAAGAATAATCAATTGAATGCATCTAAGTAAGTAAAGGAGAAAATCAAGTAAAATTTTTACTTGAAATGGAAAGAAAACTAAAAAACATAAATAAATAAACAACTTACCTTGAAGCATTTAGAGAGAAAAGTTGGTGACAAAAAGAGCACTTGCTAGACTCATAGGAGAAAAAAAGAAAAGGCTGAGTGAACGTAACGGTGACTCGATAAAACTAAGATTTAAGTCTGAAATAATGTTAAAGACTAAAGAGAAAAGGTGGAGTTGAAACGTGAAAGTCAAAGGCTGTATGAACTATGGAGGTTAAAGAATATGAGAAGAGTTTGAAGTTTGAAGAGTTAGAGTCTTCGAGAGTGTTAGGGCAAGCAAGAATAGGAAAGGTCAGAAGGTGAGTTATGAGTGGAGTGAGATTATTTTTACTTTTAGAAGATAATGAGTCAAGAGAATCAATTAGTTAATTAGGGAATATTAGTCAATTATTAGAGGTTTAGGTGGGATTGAGAATTGAAAAACAAAATAAATAAATAATAAATTAAAAAATTTTATATTTTTAAACAGGTAAACGGGTCAAATCCGTTAACCCGATGGGTCAACTTATTATTGACCCGTGACCCGTTGGATTCTTTTAACGAGTCATTAACGGGTCACGGGTTATAAATATATAACTCTAACCCATTTTAAATGAACGGATAATGGACGGATTAACGAGTTGAGTAAAAAATTAGCAGGTCTAGTACCAAAAGAGGACACCTTGAGGAATGCCAAATGATTGGGTTCCTTGGTGATGGAGCCTCACGCTGGACCAGGGAGTGCGGCGAGTGCCACATGGTGCCTTAGGTCTTCATCTACACTTTAACGACATTCGACGGTTCCCAAACCTATGATATTTACGTCCAAACGGGCACTAAGATGGCTTGCCAAACGGGGACAAAATCCTCCGGTCCAAAATCCTCTCATTTTAGTTTTTTTTTTTTTTTTTTTTAACAATTTTGGAAAAGTCAAAATTCTAATCGTTGTCCGGGAGTGAATACACTTAAATGTTACTTGATGTTACCAAACCCAGTGCCCCAAGCGCCTCTCTCATTTTAATTTTAAAAAATTAGTTATTATAGTCTTGATTATTCCGTTGATAAACAACATTTTTTTTATAAAATAATATTTTTTTTTCATTAAAAAAAAGACTAAGCACGTGTTAAAAGTATATGAAAATTAATATTAATTTTATAATATATTTAAGTTGAAAATAAAAGAGGAGATGCGAAAAATTTTATCTCAATATTTCTCCTTATTCTCCTTCTTTAATTTTTTTATTTAGGCAATTAAATAAATTTAAAAAATAAAAAAAATAATTCTTTTAATAATTAAATAAAAAAACTTTTCTTCTTTCTCCCTCTTTTCAATATCCTTCTAAATCTAAATATATTGTTAGTATTAATTATAAGTGAATAAATTTAATTTAAATAATTAATAAATTAAAAATAAATTTTTAATTTTTAATATAAATTTATTAAAAAATATATATTTATTACGGATTATTTATTCAGAGAATCGAAAAAGAACAATGAGACTCTTAAGACATATCTTAAAAAGATAAAAAAATAAATCAGTGGATTTTTAGGGAGGACTCATAAGAAGATATTGTATGACAAATTGGCGAAAAAAAACCTGTAATAAAGAGCATAACATTGGCCTCAAAAGGTTGAGGTAATGCTCACACTCTGCGCACCATTCATCTGCAATTTCCTTTTAATTTCTTCATCCCATCCAATCTCATTAGGATGCCAATGCTGGAGTTTTAGCAGAGATCCTGTGGCTCTCTCTTTGGAGAGTCAGGGAAGCGCGGAGCTCACCGCCATCCCTGCAATGGCCTTACCGCGCCGCCACCGCCTCCTCCGCTC